TGTCATTTTATCTATAAAATGGAGAGCCGTTTACCATGTCTTTGTATCCCTAGCTGAAGCGGTACTACGAGCCTGAGCAAGACCTCCTACCGCCGGTGAAACTGGAACCGTGCATCACAGCTCTCGGAGACCAAGTCTACCTCCAGGAGCCTCTGGTACTCTTTGTTTGCATTGTAGGATTTTTTTAAACTGTGTTTTTGTTTTGTTCATGTGTGCTTTAAATAGAGTTTGTTCCCTTTCAGGCACACCTGGTGAGCTGTACTGTACATTGCCTGCTGTGGCTGCACAATATGCGCCGATCAGCCAACCACAACATGGGCGACAGCGATGACGATGATGAGGAGGAGGAGGAAGGATACCAGTCTGAACTACAGACAATCCTAGAGAGTATGACAAGACGCATGATCAAGAGTGAACTGGAGGACTTTGAACTGGTATGAATTCAATACAGGAACTCAGTCTTCAACTAACCTAACTAAGTCAGTGTTTCAGTGGTGGACGTAGTAAGCTGCAGTCTGGTTGAAGAAAATATGGGAATCCTCATGAGATGTGCATACCGGAAGCAAACAAGCATCTATCCCTAAGAATGAATTCATGAATATTAAGTAATTCATCTTGAATTGTATATCAGTTTAACTCTGTTGCCAGTGTCAATGCTTGCTCCTACCTTTGCCAGTTATTAATGTTGTGGCACTGGAAGCATCATCATAAGCCATATATATACTGTCTGTGTGTTCATCAGGACAAGTCAGCTGAGTTTTCTATGGGATCCAGTGTTGGGGTGAAGAATAATATCTACGCTGTGCTGGTGATGGGAGTGTATGAGGTCCTAATGGAGTACAACTTCATCACAGCCAACTACAGGTAACAACCACCTCTCTTTGTATGATCAGGACGTCATGTTGCACAGATGTTGTTAAAGTGGTGATTTGTTTTATTTGCGTACTTGACTCTGTGTGGCAGTAAAAGCCGCTTCGAGGATCTCATGGAGCTGTTCAACCGCTACCATAAGCTGTCTGAGATCCTGAAGGAGAAATCCGGAAAGGGTCGAGTGCCCTCAAACAAGACCCCCCGCAGTTTACTCTCCCTGGGCTTCATATCAACGCTCCTCTCTGTGCTCTTCAGGTAAAGGCTATGTTTACACTTACTGGTAATATCTGAATATAAAGATCACATCTTATAAAGTTAGATCATAATACACAATATATTACATATCAAAATTACTGACCAAATTTGAAGAGCCAAAAGTTCACCTGTTTCCAAAAATGTGTGTTAAATGTGCATTAAATCAACAAAAATGTAAAAATCATTTATAGAACTAAAAATCTATGTATTTTTTTTCTCTTTTAGAGACAGTACTCAGAGCAGAGAGGAGGCTCTGTCAGTGCTTCGCTCAAGTGGAGAATTTGTGCGTTACGCAGTAAATGTGGCTGTACAGAAGATCCAGCAGCTGGAGGAAACTGGACACACAGACGGCCCAGATGGACATAACACAGACAGAACTTTCCGCTTCCTCTGTGACATGACAAGGTTGAAGCTCCTTTGCCTAAATAACAGCATTTAGTTAGGGTTTCCTGGTTTCGTTTCCTGTGACTAATGAGAGATCTGTCTTTGTGTAATTGTCATCCCAGTGTGCTGATGTGGCGTTACACCAACATCCCCAGTGTCGTGGAGGACGCGGGCAAGAAGGAGAAGCGCTCCAGCCTGTCCCACCTGTGTCTGGAAGGTCTGCTCAGGATATTCACAGCCTGCCAGCAGCGCTATCCAGACAAGATGGCTCAGCTCCTCTCCACCATGGGTAACACATGCGTACTTCTCAAACTGCAAAAGCAGAGAGTTTTTAGGTTTTCCACCTGAACAGTACACAGGAATTCATCACATTTTGTGTTTGTTACAGACATCTTGGACGATGATGCCGAGCCAGATGATGGCGATGTTACAGAGATGAACTTCTTTTACATCCGACAGTTTCAGGTGCGTTCTCTACTTATTGTAAAGAATAAAACATAGGCTAAAACATAATTTCACAAAAATCTGTACCAGGAACCTTTTAATACATCAGATACAAATCTACTTGACTTTTTCAGACAGCTGTGTTTTTAAATTGTTCCACCCTAATACGAGCATCTATATTAAAAGCCAATTTTCTTTTGACCGTCAACAGAGAGCGCTGTTCACACAGTTAAGTAGCGGTGAGGAAGAATTTAATAGCAAAGAGGCTCAGCTGCTGGTCAGCATCTTGAGTGTGCTCTCACGCCAGTTAAAGCCCTCCTCCCAACAGGTGGGTGTTCTATTAAGTGCACTTTATTAGACAAATTCTGTAGCAATTGTTCCACTAACACATCTACATCTGCAGTTTGTTCAGATGATCACGTGGACTGTGAAGATCTGCAAGGAGACCAGTTTTGGTGAGTGAAACTTTACTTAACCTTTGTGTCCATGTTAGGTATACAGTAAGGTGTGTTCTGAGGTCTGTGTGTTTCTCTCTTTTAGAGGATTCGGCTTTCGCCAAGGGTCTTCTGAGTCTTCTCTTCAACTTGCATGTTCTCTATAAGAGTCCTGTAAGCCTATTGCTGGAACTCTGCCAAGACATCCACAGCCAGCTGGGAGATATCGATCAGGTACACACAATTATACTTTACCCTGTTCAGAGCATTACACCTTAAAAACAATTGCAAGGCAGTAGGTGGTAGCAGTTGATACCAGCACTTTATAGGGAGTTTATTATGGCATTTGGGACACACAGCTAATTACAGTTTGTGTTATTGTATATCTCTTTTATATATGTTTTTACATTACACAATTATATTAAATGAACCTGCATTTTCTCCAGGTGCCTTCATTAAAAACTGTTTTGTCCATAGTTCAAATCCAACTTTTGATCATTGTCTCGTGTCATCCCAAATTCCCGCTGTATTAAAGATTAGTTGCTACTGACCATGTTAGAACATTTATTTATCCAACCTCAATGTCAGCTGATCAACACATGACTGATATTTTCTAACAGTAATCATTCGGCCTTCCTTTCTAAGTACTAATACAATTATGGCAATAAATTGATGATAACCTGGCAATTCAGTCAAACATGCCACTTGTTTTTATTCTGCCTTTTCTTTCTGTATGATCAGGACGTGGATGTAGAAAAACAGTGTCACTTTGCCATCGTCAACACGAAGACCTCGACCACAGCAGCAGTGAGTGTTGGTTGT